AAAAAAAAAAAAAGACCCACTTCAATCTTACGTACGCAAACTAATCTTTCGCTTAACCTAGTCAACCTTTAATCTTATCTCTCTCGCTAATTCCCTGTACTTCAAATACCAGACTACCCTTAAGGTCAGTTCCCAGGGCACCCAAAGCAATCTGCGTTACTCAGTTCTAACCTTTCCAAGGGTAGAACATCCCAGCGTTTTTTAAATTGGTGCAATATTCAGCAAGTTGACCAATTGATTCCAACTTGCGCTGCACATCTACTTCATCAAACGTAATTCAAGTCTAATCTCACATTTCAGGTTTACCGTCACTGTTACGTGAAAAAGAACGTAAGTTGCATTACAAAATAATCTTATCATTGCTCTCCGCCGTGCTGATCCTCTATTACGTATCAGAAACAGAGTGACTTGCTAAAGCATGCTGCTAGTTACCTGTATGCTAATTCATTGCTTGCTATGCATTAACCTGTTAATCTGTACTGTTACAGCATCTCTTGCTCTAACTTTTATGCCCTTCACCAACAGGTAAAATTTAATGTGCTTTAATACTGTCTTCGCAGAAGTTCACAATAGAAATAGCAGTATGGCTGAAAATAGAAGTCACTCTTTACAAAGGAGACTGCAGAAAGCTTTTTGTGATTACCTTGATAAAAAGGCCCCATACAGCAATATCCTTTAAATACACGGCACAATTATTTATATTCTCTGCAGACCATACACCATGTGCCCTGGAAAGAGCTGCCACATAAAATGCACCTAAAATGCATTTTGGATTTTATGCTACAAAAAACAAGGATTGTGGCAGTAGCGTTTCAGAAATTAATCATACTACAGCAGGGGCTGTGTGTGCTTAGAGGATAACACGCTTGCTCCTGTTAAGGAAGATCCTTAGGTAGGCAATCTGGAGAAATAATAATAGAGACGAGCCTCAGGCTCTTAGCTGTGAAAAATACTTCCCCAGCAGCATCTGATCGTACAATATATCATGAAGTATAAACCCACAAACTGAAAGAAAAGTCACGAAGCAGTAAAACGAGAATACGGAAGGAAGAAATCATACCACAGCGGTAAGAGGAGTGAAGATCAGATACACACAGCTAATGAACACAAAGCCATCCAAGAGCAAAGAATGACGAAGGAAGAAAAATAACAGAAAATAAATCCCAAAACATACTACAAATAGACTACAGGAGGGCAACACACAATCTTGGGACTTCCAAAAGGGCAGATATTACAATCAAAGTGTGAACTCACAGACTCTGAGGAGATTTTCTTCAAAAGCTCAGGCCCTGGTGTTCCAACGAGTCTCAAAATGAGCTTCAACTGATCAATATCTAATGACGGACCATAAAGGAAAATGCTGGGACAAATCAAAATGAAAAGCGCGACACATCAGCCTATTAACGTTGAAAGTTAATGCCTGCCAAGACCTCGACTGAAAAGCTATTTTAAGCAATCTGTATTCATTCCTCTCTTTTACGATTGAATAACCCCTTATAACACAGCTCTGTCTGCATCGGACAGATTGAACAACTTGTCTACAAATACACCACGTGCATCGAATCGGTCACTGCATCCTTAACTATCGCGGAGAAGTCATCAAAGCTTTCATCCCACTGGCAAAGGATCACTTCACATGCTTACTTCACCCTTTAGGCCCCACATCAAAGTAGAAGCAGTTAGCAGGATTAGGTTGTGTTAGTGACAGATGAAGTAAAGCAGAAGGCTAAAAAGTGTAGGGGCTAATATTAAAAAAAAAAAAAAATAAGGCCTTTATAAAACTTAGAAAGTAAGAACATGACTTGGACCCTGCTCGCGACCTACAGCATCCCTCCACCTGAACATGGGGCCAGAGGGTGTTTGCCCCCACCAGCTCCCCGGGGCCAGCATGCCACAGCCCCTGGATCTCCGTCCTGCCCAGCAGCATGGAAATGGAATATGGGCTCAGACTTAAGATCTCTGCAGAGAAAGCTCTCGGGTCATAACTTGCAAGTGCAAAGAATGTTTTAGCCAGAACAGAGCTTCCACCAGGCCACCTATCAACCTGAGCTGTCCTCTTTAACAAAGCAGAAAAATTAAATATTTGGCCTAGGTGACAAAACATACACTCGAGGAGAAAAAAATCCACTAAATACACAGGCATATGTGTAAAATTCAGGATAGTAAGGAGACACAAGGAGGTATCTTTTTAAAACCATTAAAAGAATAAATCTCCTTTCTTCTCCAAATTATCCTCCATGCTATATCATGAAGCATAAACCCACAAACCTTCATGAAGTTTATACATGAAGTATAAACCCTTCAAAACCTACTAGTGATTTCAAACTCTGTCTGTAATGTTTATATTTGCCCTTAAAGTTATAGCAAACTAGTTACACATTTTCAATAGGAGCAGTCTACTTACTAGACAGTGTTTTTTCTGGGATCAACACCTTCCTGATGTTTTAAGATACAGTTACAATTCCTTTGAAACAAGAAGGAATCTTTAACATCTTTGAATTCAAATACTATAAGCGCTTCAAATATTGTCTCCTTTTAAAAAAAAATTAGTACTGCAAATAGTACTTTGTCAGAACAGCTGAACAGCACTTCTCAAGCTGCTTGGCCAACTCCCACCTACTTAAACACTCAAAACCTAAGAGTAAATCCAATGTATCTAGTTGGATTTAGCTTAGCTGTTAAATTGCCAACTCTTATTTATCAGTGCTTAAAATGAAATCAGCATATCTACTGGCGTAGGAGAATTAGCAGAGGGTGCTATACTGACCACAATTAGCTCACTTAAATTGGCTTTTTCTTCAGTGCCATTTAAAACAGCCCTTACATCTTTCACTCATTCTTGTGCAAGAAACAGTTGTGCAAATTTCAGACCGCTGATGTGCCTCAGAACTCACATGCTGTACCTCAGTTTAAATATTTAAATTCTTTTAAAGGCATTTAAACTCAAGTGCACCAGGTGTGCCATCAATATTGCTGCCCAGTTTGCTGTCAGCTCTCTTCCCAGGGGACACACTATGGGAAGATACTTGTGTGATATACTTCATCATCTTCTCAAATAAACAGGAGAAGACACAGGATGTATAACTGGCAGTGCCACAGGCATGCCAAAACTCACCCCCTGCTTCTAGTTTTAGGCCTGCCATCTGAATCGCAGAATTCCTTTTAACTACGGGGCCTACCACGTCCCAGAGAAATGAGCCATAAGCAATTAAAGACAGAAAAAAACACTTAGTAAATAAAAGCAAAAGAAAAAAAACCCAACACTCGTGCACGGAGAAGGAAAGCGCAGCATGCAAACCCCAAATGCCATCACCGAGGTACCCCCAATGACTGATGAGTCTCAGTGATTCTAAAATTCAGAAAACAACCTGCCATCACCATCAGTAGCAGGCATCGCAAGATTGTAAGAGCTTATCCAGGCAAAGGGAAGTTCAGAAGTTGTTTTAGCTGCCACCACAAGCAAGAATTAAGACGTATCAGAAGAATATGCAATTTCAGACTGGTTAGTTATCACAGAAGCACTATACTACTGAATAAAAATAATAATACTCTTCAGAGTTTAAATGGAATACAGTCAACTTAAAACATACAGAAAAAGAAAATTGGCTAAACTAGTACAAAACATTCAAGATATTCTTATTTGTACTTTATATCATTTTTAATGCAAGCTGAATTGTCAAACTTAAAGTCAATTTTCCTGCTACTTTGCATGAATCATTTGCATTACAAGAGCTGTGAAAAAAAAAAAAAAGACGCTATTAACAGAAATTGATCTTGGCACAAGACACATAACGATAATAACAAAAAGAAAACGTCTAGCTATGCCTCACATTAAAATACCAAAGGACTCTTTTTTTTATTACCTCAGTTTTTCATGTCTGACCAGTCTTTCCCACAATCTTGCTCCCCTTCACCCCCTAGCAGGTTTTACAAATATTAGAAATCCATCTTTGATCCAAATATTTCCACCCATAGATTACAATAGGAATCACTCAATTAGCTTACATTCAGATTTAAGTTAGAAATATTCTAATAATCCTGCAGAACTAAGCCAATATTAATCATAGGGTTTGTTGGGTTTTTTTCCTAAGAGTATTTACAATTCTTGCTTTAAGACAATGACAGCCATGTTCAGCATCTCTACATATTAGGTCCTTCAGAACTTAAAACTAAATTCAGCGTTAGTTTATCATTTGCATAATCATCATAGCATCGAAGATCACTGCCTCAGAATACAACTTTATTACTTACCAGATTAAATTAAACGTACAGCTTGCCTGTACTGAAGCCCCTTACAAGTAATATATGCATCTCTGGGCCGTATAAAGAAATATCTGATGGACTGCAAATAACATCACACCATTTCTGCTAAATCCTTGGTGAAAGAGATCAGTATTTCAAGCAAAAGAATCATCTGAATGGGAGGATGACCATCCTGAGTATACTGAAAAGGCATTACCTATTCTGTCATTGTCTACTTTATTTTGGAAATGTGAAGTTATATAATTGAGAAAATTAACATCTTGAGACCAAAAAGCAAGAACAATGTCAATTTTCCAGTTGTCCAACAGCAGCAGTTTCCAGCTTCCTGAACACAAATACATAGTCACATTGCCTCCGACTGCAACCTGAGGTCCCTAGAACTGCATTGGATTTGGACATACCGTATCCTTGGCTACTAGAACCATGGTAAATATACCTTGAATTAAGCACGTTAATATTAATTGCACAGTCATTAAGTCAGCAATTGTATCGTGACACTGCAGGAGGAACACAGGCCTCAGCAAATCTGTGGGTACAAATAAACTACTAAGAGCCCAGAAGTACCTAAGAGCATCTACACCTGGAAAATTCCTAAAACTTTCTCCAAAAATCATGCATATATAAACATTTCAAAGAGCCTTCCAAGACAGGAAGAAGCTAGAACCCATTGTTATCTTACTTCTGCTTGCTGTCTTTAGATGTCAGCAAAACTGGAGTGAAAGCTGACAGCTCGGTGCCTTTCTGGATGCTTGGATAAGCATTCCATGCACAAACAAGAGATTCATAACCACAGACGCTGCTCCCCTTATAGTTCTAAACTCATGATCACACAGCATATACATTACCTAAAGTGGGAAACCACACACACAAACTGTAAGAACTATAGTACTACAGAGTTTTATCTACAATGGGAAAGGATTGGGCCTTATTTTTCTTAAAATCTAACCAACTCCAAACAGAAAAAGCATTTAATTCAAAAGTGTTAATACCATTTGTGAAAGAAATTGAGCATTTAGGGTAATCACAAGCATCTGCTGGGAGATATCAATTAGTAAAGTATCTTAATATGGCAAAGCAAACAGTTTAGATGCTAAAAGTAAACTTTATTTCGCATTGCGGATATTATTGGCTATAATTCGCAGCTAAGAACACAGTTGAAGAAAAAATTTCTCAAGCTTGGAAGATAATTGTTTTGTTCAATTCATAAAGAACACATCGTGAAGCATTTCTTACGCATTGCAAATCCTATTAGCAAATATTTTGTTTGCAAGTATCAAGATTTTAAAAATCTAAAGTGTCACTGTTACTAGGGTCAAGTAATGGCAACAGCGTCAAGACTTTTGCTTTGTTTGAATCAATGATTCTTGATTTCTCTTTTTTCTGGAAAGAAAAGAAAAAATCTGCCCAAACCAAAGTACATGCGCTGAATCAGCGGATAGAGATATGGCAACTTTTTTCTAGCTTCTAAGCCACTTTCCTGTTAGGTCTGCTGCTGTCTCTGACAACAGAAAAATACAGCAGAGATTACTAAACAGCACAGTACAGCAAGTTCAACAAATTTGGAGAGATTATGAGATGGAGATAGGCAGAAAAAGAGGAAAAAAAGGATAAAGTTAAAGCACATTGAAAAGGGAGATGAAACCATGTCAAAACTGGAATGAAAGCCTTCCCCCCCACCCAAGAGTTTTGGAACCTAGATGCTTTCCAGAAGTAACATAGCACACAGTAGGCCAGCACTTTCAACGCTAGTTTTCTTTTAATCAAATGGAAACGTATTTGAATTAACAGATATAAATACTAAGAAATTAATAACAATTACTAAAATAAACAAACAAACTCTGGTTGAAAGAACAAGCTTTGGTAAAAGGTGGGCAATATCATTTTCTCTAGCAAATAAAGTCCAATTTCTAGGCAGTGAAAAATCTCGCCAGTAGTAAACCACCCCTCTATGTTGTGTAGCTGAACAAACAAAAGTTGTAACAATTTGCATCAAGTCTCAGTTCTAATTTCCTGGGGAAAATCGTTAACAACTTTTAACAAAGTGCTCTCTCTTCAAGTGTCCTAACCCGGTCCACTTTGGTGCAGCAAAAAAATAATTTCAAAAAGATGTTATTCCAGCTTGATTTTTCACATCAGTAAAAGCACACAGTAAAAGAAGGCTCACAATCTGTTTACGCTCAAACATGGAAGCGGAACCTAAACATTTCAGAGCGATTTGGAATGAGATCCTTGGCACTAAAGAATCTGCAAACCCACTGCTTTCACAGCATACCACCAGGATACAGAAGAGAGGCCAGAAGGGACGCTTCACACTTCCTAGAAACCTGAAGCGTGAGAGGAATCTTAGCAGACAACCTACTCCATGCAGTTATTTTCTACAAAGAGCAATGAATTTAAATAAACTTAAAGGAAAGTAACTTCCAGAAACAAACAACATATAATTCGAGTGATGCTAATAGAGAATAAAGAGGAATAGATTTGCCTTCTTGCACACTGTGATTGTTTCATGTGCAGCAAAATCAAGTACTCACCTCATCATGCTGTCAATAAAAAAGCCATTCATTTAAAAACAAATAAACAAAACCCCACAATCAAACCCAAAGCTTTTCTTCTGAAGTATGTGAAAGTGAAGATCTCTACCTTCCATTTCAAAAAATCTATTACTTTTAAAGGATACGGTCTGTACCAGGGAACAATGTTCTTCCAGTCAACAGTTCAGCCATAATGCATCCCACTGACCAAATATCAACTGAACAAAACAAAACAAAAAAAAAAAAAACAAAACAAAACAACATAATGCAGAAAAATAAAGTCTCAACAGAATCTCTTTAGCCAACAAGTACAAACAACTTTATCCTTAAACGGTCTTACGGCGTTGAAACGGTCTGAGATACGTTGCAAGTTAACGGATATTGTTCAGTAACTACATCGTCCAAGACTTGTCCAAATAACAGAATACTACATCCGGCAAATTTTCTTTCCAGAGCATAACATGAAAATCAACACAAAAGAGATGGGGAGAAATCTACACGGCCAAAGAGGAAGAAACCCATTCAAGACAACTCTGAGGAATGAATTTGCATATGGCCTTTCATGAATTCTACCCAAATAACCACCAGCTATTATACTACAAATACAAGACAAGTCCATATACATGCAAGAGGAAAAGAGGAAAGAAGAAAAAAGTAGTGAGGTATGAAACCAGAGTAGCACATTCTTTTCTTTGATCCATATGCTCTTCTGTGTAAGAGCTACTCAGAATTTGCTTCTCTTCTCTGTGCCTGATCTAGAAGTATTGTAGGGAAGCACGGTGTGTTGCTGAAAAGATACTGGAAACTGTGAGGAAGACCTAACTATGAAGTGGCTAAGAAGAGAGGAAAGGAAGGGAAATTTATATACTTTTTATCATTTCTTCACACCATTACTCCAGACAGTTTTCAGCATATTCCCAGCAGCTTCCTAGAAACACACCTTCTCATCCAGATACATTCCATTCACTTACTTTAAAAACCACTGTGGTAGGAAAAATAATCGGCTGACAATATTTCACCGATTGCAATTTCAAAGGTTCAAATTTAAGGAAGTCCTGTGAACGCTATCGCAATGATTCTTCGTTTACATCTGGTAGACGGTGGTTCAAATACTAATCTATGCCTGCCTTCTTCTAATGACCCTTACTGAAGTCTTACTACCATGACTGCAAACTTATGCTATGAAATGGAAAGGAACATGTACAAAGGACATCCTCTCTTTTCCACAATTCAGCAACTGAAAAGCCTCATGTTCGTAAAATGCATTACCTGTCTGGTTGTAATGCATCCAGTTCAGCATGATCTCAGGAGCCCTGTACCATCGGGTAGCCACGTACCCGGTCATCTCGTCATCTGTGTGTCGGGCCAAGCCAAAATCCAGGATCTACGGAACAGAAAAGACATCCACCAACTACTACGGTAGAACAATGCAAACTAGTTAGAGCAAATAACTAGGCAGTTACTGGATTGGGTGGGGGAGAGGTGGTGCAACTGCAAAAGCAGATTATGAAATTACATTTCACAACCTGTTAAAAGACACTAGCCTAGAATAGCGTACGACTCAGAATTCTGTCTGGATATCTTCTCTCTAAACAACTAAACCCAAACTAAAGCTGTTAACTCTTCACTTTCAATACAATTCATTAAAAACACAGGAACAGACACTGAAAAAACATCCTTAAAGGCGGGAAGGACATTATTACTTTGGGCTGCAAAAGTATTTCCATAAGGAATAATTTTGTCCGTTTAATTCCAATGGACATCCACAAGGCATTCACTGAAATCACAGTCAAAACAATCGGACCTTTTGATTACATTACCTTTAGCTCACAGTCTTCATTTACAGCTAGGTTACTAGGTTTTAAATCCTAGAAAATTAAAGATCAGCATTAACAGCGGTATACGTGTTGTTTCACAAGTCTAAGGCAGATAAAAACATAAATACAGATAGAAAATAGATTCTAACTGGCTGTAAATATCAACTCTCCATACTCGGGAAAGTTATTTTATCCCAGAGTCAGCTATCTCTGTGGTCCTCAGAGGTGTCACATATAAGCAAAAATGCATAAAGGCTTATTGCGACACCAGTGCTGTAGATACATATTTAACAAATAGAGAACCTATTTCGCAAAGATACAAACCAAACATAGGCAGGAGCAGAAACTATGGATCTTGACAACTGCTTCCCACGTTTAACCGTTTGACTGTTTAACTGAAATAATTCTCAGAAAATTTCTTCTTATTTTTATAGGTGCTACATTGTAAGATTCTGGGCTTTTTTTTTTTTTTAAAAAGACATTCTTTAAAAGCAATCTTAGCATAAATACTCACCCTGTGTATTATGTCAGCTGAATGGATGTACTGTAAGGCAAGATGACAAATTTTATGCAACAGTCCAAGCAGCCTCCTTCTCATTTCTTTGCTAGACAATACTGCCCTACCCCATCCCACACAATTCAAATGCTATAGCTTGACTGCAGAAGGAACCAACTGTGTCTCTATGGGTTTCAAGTAGGTAGGTGTTTCACTTTGTCTCTCCTTAGGAACACCCAGGAGCACTGCCACCACGAGTGGAACAACACAAGCAAACAAAACGGAAGAAATGGAAGACTGGTAGTCAGAGGAGATTAGAGGGCAGCATACTTCATAGTTTTCCAGACTCATCCCACAGGAATGTATAGAAGTATCACCTGAAATGATTCATAGCTTTACTGATACAGAGCTCCACAGAGGTATGAAAGGAAAGAACAATAATAATAGGTTATCCTATGATACGCTAGGAAAGTTACAGAAGCCCCACTATGCACTCCTATGAACCTCTGAGGAAGTGACATTCATCAAGAACTTCCACCTCCTGTTGATGAGCTGTCAACATTCGGGTAGGACAGGTGCAAGTACCTTCAGTCCCCGAAGAATTTGGTATATTAGGAACTGCACATGATCATCGGTGAGTTTCTGGCATTTCACAATGTTGTTCAGATCTGCTCCCATAAGGTGTGTGACCAAGTACCTACGAACAAAAGGAAATACACAGGCTATGAAGCGATCCCTTCAAGAGAAGTAGGATAAAATTTCCCTATGAAGCTCTAGTAGTAGGGCTGACTGTCCCAAAGCATGTTGCTGAATGAAATATAGTTCATGACACTTAAAATAACGTCGCAGATGAGCACACCGATTCCTACAGCACTGGTCAATAAAGCACAAATGAACGAGTTTGAAGAGTCCAATAGTTTAGGACGTCCTAGTATCTTCTGTGTTGGAATTCAGAATGGTTTGAAAATGATGAGAGACAAATTAAGGTGGCAAATATTTCTATAATAATCTGGGAGATGTAAGGAAGATACAAAAGATGTTTCGTTGCAATCTTCAGAGAAGTTACCTACACATCATTGAATTCTTCTAGTGACTTGGCAGGGGTGAACACATCCAACAAACCAATCACCTAGAAAGAAAACGGTAACGTGAAAAAGCTGTGAAATATATTCATAGTATAATACGATACAGTTACTAAGATCTTTTGTGGAATAGAAACTACTCATTCCGGTAGATGTTTCATTTCCAACTACAAGAATCATTCAGATATAGACAAATTAGTATTCATGCAAGATCAGAAATGAACGTTTAATTCTTGTGTAAAAAAACAAATTAAAGTTAAAAAGATACAGCTGTCTTTTCACACCAGCCATCCGCTTAAAGCGTCAAACAGGAGCCATACAACAAAAGGCAGGTGTAAACACTGGTTTAGAATACCTTATTTCAAAAAGCAACTAAAGTTTGTTCAGGAAATAAATGGATGAGAGAAACAAAAAAAACCCCAACCACCAGACAAACTGTTTGCTTCCTGCTCAATTCTTAGTTATACTGTTGACTACATACTAAAGTCAGAATTGGGAGACTACACTTGTTTCACATGTACTGAGCAATGGCTAGAAAAATTCAAGGATCTGTAACACAGGCAATGAATAAAGAATACAGTAGAAAGTAAGTCAGGAAATCAATGCAATGCACTGAGGACCCAATTCACAAACAGCTGACAGCTTCACACTGGCATTTGTATTTTCTGCCCAAAGAACAGCTACTCCACCTTTCATTTTACAGCTAAACGGTTCTATCAGTAGAGCATAAAAGGATATGCATGTGTTACTTTGTGGAAAAGAACAACTACACCTTATTATCCCATAATTATCTTCTAAGTCATTTATAGCATTTAAAAACAATAAATCCATCTGGTTGATTAAGTTTATTCTATTTTTCACTGAAACATGCCTGTAAACCTTACTTTCCTTCTCTTAATAGCAAACAATATTTTATGAATAGGAGATAGAGAGGCAGGTTCTCTTCATCCACCCCTTCCATTTTCAAGTTAGCATCTCACTCGTCTTACATACGCAAACTTCACACACATTTCAGCAACTTCAGTAACGGTTCAAGCATGCATATGAAACGAAGAGTTGGATTCCCGTGTTCCCCTTCACACCATCCTTTTTATCCCATTTTTTACACTCGTCAAGCATGTCAGAGTCAAATGAGTTATCTCTAAGCAGAGCATTAAAGACAAAAATCTTTGGGGAACCTAGACTGCGTTTTTGGAAAAGAGAGCAGGTGGGTAGGAAATAAAACCCTCTGTCTAATCTGTATTGCACATTATAGATTACATTTTACTGAGGAAACTGAAGAGAGAGAACTCCTGCCTCTCTTGATGTACGCAGCAGCAACTCCTCTAACATTCACATCCATCCTGTATAATAATTCTCGTGTTTACAGTTTCTTTCTCTGGTGGACTCTTCCATACCAGTTTTTCTGGAAAAATTCAACATCATCCACCCAGTTCAGCATGGAGAGACAAAAAACTGACTTTGCTATCTAAACTTCAGCTTTTTTTCATTTATCATTTCTATCTTGACTTACACTGTAAAGCACAGTATCAAGCTATCCATATCTTTCGCCAAGTTTCACAAACACTTAAGTACAGTTGTTCTGCAGCGCATCGCTGACTCGCTTCTAAGGAAGCGTGAACAGCAGTAGATCCAGAACCCAACTCCAACCTTTTGCTTTTCCCTCACAATGTTTTAGGATGTTATTAATTCCTTCATATGACAACAAACCCGTTTCCTCTCCCATCTGCTCAATGCCGTGCTTTCTGCAAGCCAAGAAGGCCTCCTGGAACTTGAAAATGTAACACAGACACACTCGAGTGCTATGCAAGTCCATTTATTTGCTTGCGATCACCATGAACCAGAATAGATATGGGATACAGAAGACCATCCTATGCTCAACCCCTTAAACTGCCATACCTACCAGATTTGCTGGTGTATTCTGTGCCATGTAAAACCAAGTGTTTTACTTCTGAACAGAGATCTGAACAGTCAACATGCTAGCACTAATAAGCCTGCCTGAACTGGCTCTGAACATCTCTGCATCTGCAGATTTTTTTAAACCACAACCTAGATAAACTTCCCACAGATAGATGATGATACAATGAGCTGATAATAAATATTTCTATATATAAACAACTTCCTTTTATCCCTTACTCTCAAAGCTACATAGGCTTTTTGCAATACTCATCCAAAAATATTAATGAATGCCAGACAGAACTGTTGTAGCACCAGTCACAACCTAATTTTCATTGCTTAACCTTACTAGCTTAGACAAAACAGATTGATATGCTGTGGGGTTGTTTGTTGTTTGGATTTGGCGGTTTTTTGGGCTGGGGGTGTTTGCTAGCAGATATTCAAAGCTTTCCTGTTTGGAAAACATCTCAGCCATGAGAAAAGGTCCAGAAAAAACTCCAGGGGATGGATATCATCCATCCACCCAGGATCAAATGCTACCTCTACTGTCGAGACAATGGTATTGTACAGAAGCACTGAAGAAGAACTGTGGCAATAGTACATATATGCATCAAAAGTTCCAATTATCTTAGCCACACTCAAAAGACACAGAAGATTTGCAGGATACCGGCTGCTGACTGCGGTAGTTAGGAGCCACAACACACAACCACCACTGCTACAACAGAAGAAATTCTGAACAGACCATCCAAGAAGAACCTTCCAACCAAATTACACTTGTTTGGCTTTTTGTGCTAGATAAAGGTCCTAGGTTTGCTCAGCTCACTTCCAAAACAGTATTTCACTTCTGCTAAGTTGGAGTTTGCTTGGACTAAAGAAATCGAGAGCCTTCCTTTCCCCTTGACATTGTGACAGCTCTACAGAGGGCAGGTTATTAAACTTTTTGCCCCACTGCACGTGATATTTGCTCCAAACAGCATGCAATATAATTATGTTGGTGTCTTAATGCCAGAAATACACAGAACTGGTCGACCAACTGTTTTATGTACAAAATGGACATTATATCAAAAAATAGTTCAACGCAACATTTGTCACATCCTATTTTGTTTCCCTGTTGATGATTTAAGTGGGTGACTTGTATGAAAAATCATCTGATTTCCACTCCCTTTTCCCCCTCTATTTTACCTACAGGAATGTCGTGAACATCTACCCCACACCCTTCTGACAGTGGCAAGCCAAGACAAACAAATATGAAAAACCCTCCAGAAGACACTAAAAACAAATTATGAAATTTTCCTTTTTTAAAAATAAATTCTTAACGGAACAAAAACTACAGCTTACTAGAGCAAGCGAGCAGGAGAATGTAAGCAACATCACTTGTGTCCTAAATCGTTAAGACAGCATGAACCTGCTAAGCAGTAATTTCCAGATTATTCTAGAAAATATTAAGATTTTTTAAATACAGAATTTAACAGGGGTTGTTTTTTTATCTGCATGCTTTGCTACAACTATAATCCTGTGGACTACCGCAAGCTTTGTATTTAGCATTAGAAAAAAACCATATGCAGTAAGATCCTTAAATGCAATCATGCTGGATGCTCACTGAACAGCCCAACTTTACACCAACCTTTCATACCATCTCCAACTTACATTTTCGTGTTTCATGTGCTTAAGCAGCCGTAGCTCTCGGTAGGTCCTTTTGGCATGGATGATAGACTGAAATGGACGGGACAGCTTCTTTACAGCCACGCGCAACCCAGTTTTTGTGTCAAAGGCAGAACTACAATAAACGGTAATCAAATTATCAAAAAGAATTATTTATAAACACCTTCAAATCCCCACTTAGCAACTCCAGATAGCAACTATCTGGACACTGAGTCACAGTCAATCCCACTTCTCCAATGAAAATAATTTCTAGGTATCCTGGTTCACAAGCTGCACCCCCACCCAAAATCTCCACATATTTACACAACTGTTGTTTTCTACAGAAAATGTTTACAAGGTTGAGACTTGTTCATACAGTAAGTTTTGTAGAAAAAAAAGAAATGTTTATGATTTTTCTGTCTAAAACCAGTTGTGCTCTTAAACATAAATACGGCAATAAAACTCTGGAGAGAGGAGGAGTACTTGTAAATATTATCTGTATTCCTAAACATATTTTCACACACCACACTTTATCACAAAATGCTATGCTCAAGATACTATCTTTTATGGTTTAAGTCCATACAAAAATCCATGGCCTGTGCCTAATAAAATCAACGATGATGGTTATTAATCACAACTGAAGCTGAAATCAAGCCTCTGTGGTAAATCACGTCTAATCGTAAACTCCCAATATAGAAAAATGCATCTGAATAAATGATATTTAGCTGTACATTACTAAAACTTGTCCGTTTAGCAGTAACTTATACATAAAACCTGTACGCAGAAATATTTCTTCTTAGAACCCACGACGACTAACTTCATCCTATTGGTAACTTAATATATATATATATGCTATTTTGTACTGTAAAATCATCCTTTGGAGTAAGTCATATTACAACCTGTTTATTTATAATATTTAGAAGCAAAAGCCTGATGCTTTTGAAACAACCAAAAATTTAACACATGAAGAACTATGTTAAATTTCTGATACACTGCATAAAATTTCCCAGAGCTTAGGGCTTATATGTGAGGAACTAAAGAAACGTAGGTATTTAGCTCCTCTTTCTTCTCTTCTTTGATGGCCTTACCTAAAACAGCTCTGGTTTGTCAAAAAGGAAGGAGGAGGAGAAAGAGAGGATGTGAAATCAAGGTTACACTTGATTGAAGATAACAGACAAGGGGAAAGTATGGAATGGATAAAGTCAGAGAAGGACTGTATTTATTTTCCTGCTGCATTCTGATTCAGAGCGAACTCCCGATTCCATTTAAAAGTGAGCATGCACTAGTTCTTGATAAACAAGTGAAAAGGAATGCTACACATTTATAAATGTAAAGTGTGAAGCAGCTCAACTAACAGAAAGTTCAAAACCAATCACAAAAGTAGTCCTAGAACAAACACACAGTTGCATATACAACTCTTATTCCCTCACCTCTGCCAAAGAAGCTATCTGAAATGAACGTAGTCGTCATTTAATTGCAGTTAGTTGCTTTAAAAAAAACTCGCAAAAAGACTCCTTATCTCAAAGTTGCTCAGTTTCCAAGGAACTTGCTCTATGAGGTTTATGAGAAATAGAAAACAAAACACAGGCTTGTTTCTACAAACAGCGATCCTTCCACTAGGTCCTGCAACAGAATGGAAAAACCCACTGTGCGCAATGGAAGAAGAGTACCTCCTTCTCTGTGAAGGGGCACCTGTGTACACACAGCGGATAGAGCTCTGGAAAAGATACAATGATATAGCTAGACAGAAGATCACAGGAGCAAACTGTCATAGTTGAATTACTCAAGTTACACCATATTGTCTCAAAGAATATCCATTATCAACCACTTCCACACAAGTTATCCTTTAGACCTCACTCAGCCTGCGCAGACAAAAGAAGCCCTTAAGCATTCATTTTTTGTGCTTGATTTCACATGATCTTCAGCAAGTCTTCTTGATCACTAGAATATCAGTATTTAAGCTGCAACACTTCATGAAACATAGAATTCAATTTTTAAGCTTCATGTACATAATTTTGCAATACACAAACATACCTAATTCAGGCTGTAATTATATGACAATATTTTAATGAACTCAAGGTGTTTTCCAGGACTTAGAGCAAAAAGAAGATTAGTCATCATAATTCGACACATGCTGTTATGAATTAGTCATGAATTTTTACCAGCTTTCAAATATTTTGGGTCCAAATAGCACCATATACCAGTATCACTTTCATCCTGATAAGAAGGGGATCCCTGCATATTAACCAGTTTCACAGCTACACAGTCAGATTTCTCTCTTGGTTTCCACAAGATTTTCTTGAGAAGATTCCAGAGCCATCAGACATATCACAAGCTATTTCAGAGTCCAAAGGAAATGCAATTTCACCTTCTTTTTAATCACATTTTTTGAGGTCGTATCAAGTCATCGTTCTGCTGTAGTAGAGGTACAGCCTCCAAGGAGAACTGCAATCAGCAGCACGGAGAAACTGTTTAACCAGCACAATGACGTTGTCCACAAGCTCAGGAAAAAAACTTTTCTATTACTGCACATTTGCAGGCTAGAGTTACTCTTTAAGTCAGAAGAATTCTAAGTTCAGTCACATTTGAGGCCTAAAAACTATTTCACTACAGATAAAGGCATGCTGAGTAATTTTCTGCCAATACAGATAACTGCCTAATGGTTTTCATGAGTACAGAACGCAGAGCTACAGAACAGCTGTCATGTTGCAGAACATTTTAAAGAACACTAAGCTGGCTTTCATCACAGACTTAAAACAGCTGCATTACAGTGACCATATTTCAGCTGAAAAAGCCCAATTGGGAAAAAAAATGCATGACCCACAGTTTTAAATCCCTTTTAAAATAAGATCAGCACAAATTCAGAATTTATCACAGCTTCCACATTTAACCTCTTACATAGTATTTGCGCTACAGCACCCACCTCACCCAAAGTCAGCTAAAACTACAACTATGAGCTAACCTGAATTGGATCCAGAACATAAGAGCTAGAATAAAACAATTATTTTAGAGAACCTATCCACTGATTCAACTTATATCTTCTTAGAAATAACATTTGAAGTAGTCTGAGGAACTGAAGTACACACAGAATTACTTAAGAGTGCAATTTATTTAAACATTAGATAATCAGCATGTTAATTTTTGTGCAAAGACTATTTTGCTACACCAGTCACTTCTGAGTTCAGTCTATACAAGCATCTCAATCAGTTACCCTCCCGACAGGCTACAAAAAGTTGTAAATCTTGCCTCTGCTCTGCTTCTGAGAAAGTTGCAATAAAAGTCTCCCTATAGGACAGATGTGCTCACGCTAATTTCATTTCTTAATATACCAAGTTCCCATGAAGTTCAAACCTTCACTTTCAGAGCTCTGCTCACAGCTTTTTTGTGCGTGCCCATCTCCTGCTCCATCCCTCTTCCTCACACGTGTTCTGCTAGTCCTACCTGTACAGCTGCTTCATCCCACTCAGTTTTACAGTTCCTTTCATATCACTCCTCACATATCTACCACACCTTACTGGAGAAGCAAGCACCTGTCCCTCCAAGCGCACACATACTTTGGAGGCACTTGCACGCTTTGATAAGGGATTAGTAAGCCTGAAGATGCATATTGGTTAAAAAAAAAATTCACAGAGGAACTGTTACTACAAAGGTGATATTTAGGGTTGTTACTTCATTTCCTCTGGAGCCTACTATTTCTTAAATCTGTAGCAGGATTCTGTTAGTTTTGAAAGAGGGGAATTACCTTACTATCTCCATAATATCCAGGAAATTCAGAGTCAGTGTTGGTACAACTGTAGATCAAAATAGGAAGAAATTACATGTTTTGGAAGGGCCATACAATCTGGCAGCCTACAAACAAAAAAGCTAAAAACCTCTTCCTCGGAATCCTGCACAAGTCTTGGCTGTTCAATTCCTTTCCTAATTAAGTACGGCAATACAGATAGTCTGCAGAGCAATTAAACCAAAAACCTTGTTTTACAAAAGTATCAATACAACACACAACTGCTGCAAAAAATGCAACAATGAAGTTAACTTGTAAGAGTATGCCCAGTCTGCCTTCACGCATTTTAGAAACCGATGGCAAAGATCATCAAAACACCTCTTTGCCTAGCTTACAGCTGGCTGAACTAATGCCATTTGCTGAGACTTCCCTCCAGCACACACAAGAAAGGAAGCGATCCTCCAGCTAAACCGTGAGTCACCGACTGATCCCATCTCCATTCAGCAACCTCCCACTGCAAGATGCTGCATTATCTAGGCCCCTCTCCTCCTCACATAAAATATTACAACGCTGATACTTCAGGAGCCCATGTGTTTTAGTGTAGACCTCGTTACAAAATCCTTTTCACACAAAAGACTATGTTGTATGAATATACAAAACTGTTGCAAGAATAAGTGAAATAGTATTTCACACAACAGGTGTCACAGCAATCGTTACGTGACTTAGTAATGACAAATCTGAGGGTACATATCAATGTTTCTCCAAGTTTTGGAACTGAATCCCTACTTGCATCTCCACATACTTCCATTTTTTAAAAAACAGATCCTGAAAACCACCCAAGTTAGTCATTTGAACGTCCTTCTTCCAATACTGCACACATACTTCAGAAAACACTGGAATACTAGCTCTAAGTTTAAGCACATACCTTGGGTGCCTTAAGCTGCCTGCAGAAAACACCCCTCTATTTCCATCCACTGACAACAAAATAACGTCAGGTTCTTACAGTGAGGTGTTCTGCATCATACTTGCGTTAGACATTTAAAGCAGCCTACAGCAGACAGCTCCATTGTCTAAATGATTCATCTGCTGGCTTATTTCTTTCTATTAGTTTCTATTAGTTTTTCTCCCACTTTCTAGAAATTCCTCATTTTTAAATGCCTCATCTTGACAACTAAATAAGCAACAGAGCATCTTACTACGTTTTAATAGAAGAACACAGTAGACATACACGGAAGTATATGTAACCATTCAGTTTAATGGTGGTTAAACCCCTGCAATTTACTGTCCCAACACAAAAGTACTCCAAACACAAAGTCTCAGATGAAATTAGGTAACTTTTTACAGGGGAGAAAAATCTCTAGAGGGGCAGAGAGCAGAACAAGTCATTCCAGGAATATCCTAAATGCATGCATCACCATTTGCAGCTTGATAAAATTACATATATATGCAAGGGATTTTGTGTGTTGTTTTGGGGTTTGGTTTGGTTTTAATTCTGACATCCTTTCTGCATCACTAGTCTTTCTGAACTGTATCTTTTCTGAAACATATTTTCAGACCAACATACAGAAAACCATCACCATGGACTGCACTAAGAGTCATGTGCCACATGTCTGAAATTGGTTCCAATACAAAATTGTTTCATCTAGTCTGAACACAGTTGCACAATCTTTGAAAGTTTTGACACAGCAAAACAGGAAAATCATGATGCAAACTCCTTAGTGGTTGTGAAAACAAACTTTGGAAATATTTATTACACACACAACGGAGATTGTGGGGAAGGGGAAAACAGAAGAAAAATGGGCTAGACTGTGTAGGGTCATCCTTAAAAATACAGCAGACAAGGCACTGAGCAAATTAGTTTTCTGTTACATTCGGGGAGTTATGCAACTCTGTGGCACTTACAGGGGTATTTATCAACTATGGCAGCAAGGCCCTTCTTTCACCAAACTAAATCCATCTATTTTAAAAGAACTCAGCAAGTACACTGGTTAATCTTGCTGTTTGAACTGACTGGCGTTTGTCTTTTATGAAATACAAGCATCTGCATAATTGAGGCAGAGCAGTTTTAAGAAATGCATACTATTTAAGCTGAACTTACTAACAATTTTATAACAATAGTTCAAGAACAGCTACAAGCTTTATTTCCTTAAAACTGCAGTCCGTGCAAAGCAACTCTTTCTCTTTACTAGTAGAGTGCAGTATGCATCCCTCCTTATCCTAGAACATAATTAATATTCATTATATAAATTTGCATATTATGTTAATGAAAAATATGCATGCTCACTCAAATACAGCAGCAAAGCACATGTGTAATCATTATGCACCCACATTTGAAAATTCTGATCACACTGGCAGAGCCAAAGAACAGAGAACAAAAACCAGAACGTTGGTGTGGAAGACATTTCTTAATAAAAGGTGACAGTAATCTGTGAACGCTTTCATACAGCTCTACTACATGCCTGCTAAAGTCTAGATGTAAAACTGATTTGAATACAAACTTGTCTTTAAGATTAAACAACGTATGCAACCCAATTAATTTAGGTTTAATGATCAAACATACTTCAGCAGAGAAACTACAAATTAAGGAAGTATTGCATTTTGCACGTGTAACTCGTCATAGGTTTTTTTTCTATGAGATAAGCATTTAAAACTAAACTCTTATCTTCAAGCTCTCCAGAACTCTGCAGGTCTCATACCAGGACTCCACTCTCCCAGGCAGCGCATTCTCCAGCAATAGAAGTTTTCCTATGCTGATCTACTGTTGCCATGAAAATATAAGTACTTGTAAACCCACGGTTACAATTCAGGGATGCAAAACCAGCCCTCATAACTCTCCTTCTACCCTCCCTGCCTATCAACAGTTTCCAATAAAAAATTATAATTGCCTCAAATATAATCTATCCTTCAGGTCCAGAAGGAAACCGGGACAAGAGCTGCCAGGCCCTCAGCTCTGCAAAGCCAGCTATGGGGGACTTGCCAGCCTCCATCCCTCTCCACCCCCCACCCATTAACTGCAAGAAGGCACGGTGAAATATGTCTGTGTGAGATCATGGGGGGGACGGACCTTGGGCCACGATTAACTTTCCCTGCAAAAACGTTTTAGTGCCACCTGCCATGTGGTGCAATCCCCGACGCATTCCAAAGACAAGACTGCGGCTTCCCGGCAG